AAACAAACAAAAAAAACCAAATAAATAAACAATGAACAGCAGAGCATAAATCCATGCTCTGCAACACATACACTGAATGCAGCTTTATCATCAAGGAAAAGTTTGTGCAGACAAATGGGTTAGAGAGCCTTGGCTGTGCTTTCACAGCATTGGAAACTATAACACATGCAACTGAGAATGGAATGTACTCAGCCTTCCCCAAAAGGAGCCTGGACACCTCTGCAATCTGAGATACGTGCMAGTTTATCTGTCCCCTAAACCCATATCTCATATTGTTACATCTGTCACAKAAGTTTTTGGTGCTGGTTAAGAACTCAGACCTGAACATTTGTTTTCAACATAGTAAMACTAAACAATACAGGAATAGTAATAGAAAGTGGGGGGAGGAATATAAGAACAGGGAGAAGGAGAAAAATGGCAAAGATTAGGAACAGAGATACAAAGATAATGATAAAAAATCCTGACCCATCACACTTACCCTCAGCAACATCATCATCCACCATCAGCTTGAGGCTCTTTCCTCGCCGAACCACCCGGACCGTGTGCCACTCATTATCATTGAGTTTCTGCCCAGCATAAAGAGTTTCAGGTCCCTTGCCTGGGAAGGGTGATAGGTGCAGCARTTAAACACAGACCCACAGTCAGTTTAGTACTTGCTCAATGGGAAAAGTCATGAAAATCAACCTGGTGTGATACAGACCAGTAGAGTGCACAGGTGTATAACAACTGTACCAAACCCTCACACCTACACCTTTCCAGCTCAGGAATCACAAACCCTTCCACTCAGTCAGGTGCCTTCCTCCACAGAGCCCTAAGGTCACATGCATTTAAAATGGCTAGAAATCTCTCTTGTGCTGTGATACTAATTTCCAAACATTGCATTGTACAGCACACTACAGTAATAAGAAAACAAGTTGATGACTGAAATGTCTCTAAAGTGGAGCYATTACAGCAGCATTTAGCTCTCCTAAGAATCTGAATTTACAGTATCCCCAAGCTACCTAGGAATCATTTCGAAACTAATCACACTGGTCTTTCAACAGTTCAGTATCAAACACCAGGTTGGTTTCAGTCTCAAAAACACAAAACAAAAGAACACCAACCCCCACAAAAAGAATAGAAAAAAAACCCCACAGAACTTTAAACCCGGTCTTCAAAAATAATTACAAGAAATTAATCTCAGAAAGAAAACCATTCACCAACCTGGCTGATTTCTTTAAGGTTCTTTGACAAAGCAGCCTAGCTTTGAGGTGCTTACTTCACCTCATGAATTACAGTCAAAAGAGAAAGAGGAGCCATTTCTTCTCCAAAAGGTTATACCACRGTTGCCCTTGTAAACAATGCTCCTGGGAAAACAGCAACAGTGCTACCCACATTTGTCCAGTTTTGCTGCTCACCCATCAGAGTTGACAAGCAATTATTTAAAAAAATTAATTGTCAGTTTACAGGACCAGAACACCTCACTCATGTCAAATGGTAAGTGAAATTGAATAATAGTGTGTGCTAAATTAAAAGCATCTATCCTCATTTCAGTACAGTACTAAAGTGGGGGTTTTGATCCCATATAAAGGTATAAAAGGATATGTAGAATGAAAAMAGCCAAACTTGTTGCACACTGGGTCTGGACCCACTGCCCAAACTGGCAAAAGGAGAACCCAAGAGAGAAAAAACRAGACATGTTGAACATATTAACAGAAATGGGATAGGGACAATGAGGCACTGCTGCAGCTCATCTTAGTGCACTGGTAAAACAAATGTCAAATAGTCCACAGCCCACAGGATGCACACTGCCTARTGAGCAACATTACTGGAATTTCTTCTCACCAAAGGAGGAAGAGGGCCAAAGAAGGTGGTGTCTCATTCAGCTAAGATACAACATGAAGTAGAGGAATTCTTCAGAAGAAAACCAAAGGAAAGTAAGTATTCTGTTATTCTTTTTAAAAGGTCATGCAGCTCATGCTAATTAAAAAAGGTGTTTTACATTTTTTCAAATAAAGCTCATTGCCAGCCARTTTTATCATAAATGAAGATAATAAAAATTTTCTAGTGACCTGAAAAAATCATTCTTGGATGAAAAGAATGTGGGCCATATATTGCAGTTACATGGAGTATCTCCTTGGCAGGAGAAACAGACAAGCAGTCCCTCATCCATATGCCAAAATCGCATACCACACCACATACCATGTAAATCCAGCTGAACAAGGCTGCTAGATGATGGCCAGAAAGCTTAAATTCTTCGGAACTAGATGAACATAACTCTAAGAATCCAAGAAACTTATGCCAGATTTACATCAGTAAGTATATTTTATCCTAGAGCAGAAATCACAAAATTATAGCCATGGATGGCCAGCAAAATTATTGTCAACATCAAAATACACTGCATCACTTCCTATGGTTCTGCTCAGCCACTTGCCAGGTAGGAAGATGTAGGAAGTCACCTGGCCCTGTGTGTTTATGTAATGCCACCTGAAAGCAGGGGAAAGCRGGGGAGGGGTAGAAAACTCTTTTTAAAAAAACCCAATCTTTTCCACATATCCATTAGAGCTCTGCAAGGCTCACCCAAGAGAAATAGTCAGGTGTGCTGGAGTCTGCTCAGTTGATAATGTAACACTTTCTGTGCATCAGCTCTGTGTTCAGCATGGTTGAGTAACTCAGTTGCTGACCTTCTAGTTCCCAATTTTCAACCCAAGCCTGACAAAACAGGGTCAGCCAAAACAGTCTGGGGGTTGGCTTGTCTTGATGCCCACTGGAACACTTTCAAAACAAAACTGTGACACCGACAGAAGTTACATTACTATATTCTCAGAAAAAGTAGCTTAACCAATYCACATATAAATAAGTAGAAAGTTTAAGAATTCCCACTTTCTAATGAATAAGGTTGTCTATTTAGAAGTTAGTGGTTAGAATCATGGACTAAAATTTTGAAAATTAAACACTTCAGATAAAAATATTTTGTTATTTAAGTCCATGTCTTGATCAGCCAATTTTATATTTGATCAGTAGAAACAAAGAAGTTTTAATACTATTGTTCACTTAACACCCTTCCCTTTTGAAACAATGAGCATTGGCTTATTTTAGTAGGGTTACCCAAATAATACTATATATAAAAATTGAATACATGAGCATACTTAAGAGAATTCAGGTAAGTTTTTCAAACCAGACATATCTGAATGTTTAAAAAAGTATTAAACATTATTTTACTCTACTCAGAATGTTTTATTTTCAAATGCTTTCCACACATTTATACAGCAGTGTGTTGACCCGAAAAGCAGCAAAATTGTGTCCCCAGTTTTCAACTTAAAAATGAACTGCTTTTCCTTGTGTAAGCTCCCATTGAATTCTGAGTAGTTTCAAGAACTGCGTATACAGGAACTGTGATATCTGGATACAAAAATTCATTTCATTGAGCATGATTTACTACATGTGCTGTTTCTATATAGACATTATGTGTGAACAATTTTTAAATAAGGACTTGAAGATTCCTAATCCAACAGTTGTCAGTGCTGGGGAAAACAGACAGGAAATGGGCCATATGTACCAGTACCATAATGCTGTCCCTAAGAACAACCTCCTGCCTGGAAGGGCATTTCTGTGGTCTTACAGCTAAACACACAGAACTAAGTGTATACACCAAGACTGGCAGGGGTTTAGTTGTTTTGCAGGTTTGTGGTTTTTCCTCCTTTCAAGCTATCTGCACCTACATCACCCTTCAACAAGGATAACAGACATAGGAGGGAGAAAGACAGAAGATTAAATGGACAGAGAAAGCTAGACATTTGTATCTTCCCTTTCATTCTTTCATGATAAAGGACAACAAAGGGCAGACAAGAAACTCTTGCAGCAATGAGCAGCACATCTGGAAACACTTTCTATTTCAAATACTTTGGGCCATTGGGCATTAGGTAATTTCTACCATTTATTGAATTTTTATGCATGGAAAGAGCAAATAACTACATAACAGTAAACAGAATAAGAAAGTTTTTACTGTAGCAGTAACTTATCAGTTAAGCTGACAAGGCATCGTTCCTATTGGCATGTTTAAATGTCTCGGTAATTCCACCCCCCTTTCCTAATATTCTCTAAGGAACGGTGTATCCTACAGAATTGATCACTACGCTTCATTTTCCACCTCAAGTGAGGTACACTAGTGAATATTTCTTTCATGCTTTGCAGTGGCAAACACTACTTTATCAGAAGCAAAAGTATCTGTCTCTTATCCATCCCCAAATTCTGGACACAACTTCAGCTGCAGTTCAGGCTTCTTGAGCAAATATTACTTGATTCAGCCACACTGATTCTTCCTCATGCTCCCATGAATTGTTCAACATCTACTCAAACTTGTAGGCATATTGTTCATAAGAAACAATTAGTATATGCGTTCAAACATGGAAGAACTCCATCCAATGTGCACAGGGAAATTTCCTCCTATGAGGTAAATGAGAAAGAGGRTTAATGCCCTCTGCAGTTCCTCAAAGGTGGATCAAAAATTGTGCTTTTACCTTCATGCAGGCTGTCATCATCTGATCCATTTGTAAGATTAAAATGGCCTGCATGAAACCAGGCTATCTTCATTATTGCATATCTCACCCAACATTACAGAAGTTGAACAGTGAGGTCTTCAGAACAAAAGAGCTGAACAGAAGGGGAACTGCCATATTGAGGAGAATGGACAAGGTGCTTCCCTCAGTACAGTTACAAAGATAAATAATTCTACAGTGATTCTAATGCTTTGTAAAGAAGACCCTCAGTAATGATAAGGTTTTCTCTGCTTTCATTTTTTAATTAAAACGCTTAGCTACCATCTCAGATTTTTTTCAGTGGAAAGATGCATTTTTGTACCTCTTTTATACAGGGCAACATACTGCCAGAATGGCATCACCATCCCATGGCAGGGAGGGGCTGGGAAGGGAAAATTTCTTTGCCTCCCCCTCACTCTTTTCATTTTTGAAGGGGGGGGGGGGGGGGGCATTAGCTGTTTTTACTCACACCTTTACATAATGACCAGAGAAGGTTTTTTTTTGCATGTAAAATGTGCATGTAGAGATTTGTGAAACGTGAATGAATCAGACACCAAAAAAGGTGTAAAGACAAAGAAGCTGGCAATTTTTCACACACCTTTATGGCTTCCTGATATCTACTAAGTTCCTACAAAGCACAGGTTGGATATCAAAACACAAGCAGAGCTGGCAGCTCCTCTGAAAATCTTCAGTAACTTCTAGTCTTGGTTAAATATAAATCAGTAGTGTAAATATTTTTGGTGGTTTTAGGCAGCACTGGTATGGATGAAGTGTTTTAGGATACCCAGGAGCATTGTTAATTGCAAGGAAACAAATGACAACCCCAGACTCTGTATGTCACAAACATTTACATTAATATCCCAGTCAAATCAACCTATATTCTCATACATACATTTGTTTTGCTCATATACAGGCTTTAGAATTCCTCTTTTCAAGAACATGTTGGCTGCCAACAAGGAGTAAGCAGTTGCATTCCCCTGTAGATACTCAATATCATCACTTACCTGGACCAGCCTTTCCATTTCCTCAAGGAATAGGATCATGTCCATGTACTACTCCACATGTTAAATAAAACATAGCG